GATCAGTCAAGAGCAGCGCCAAAGGTTCGTTGGATTCTTAATGGGGGAAGGTTAGCCATCCAGGGCAACAGTCTAAGGACTGCACATACCTCGTTATGGTAAAGAAGACTTGAGACAGACATATGTTGTAGAGTTTTGAAATATCTAGTCCTCCCAGCTGACGTGCATAGGAGAGACAAAAGTAGACAATCATATAAAACTGATGATTTGGCTCAACAATGGGGTATCTTTGCGGCCTATCATGTATTAAAGAATGTCACGGATTCGGTCGTTATAGCTGGTGCAAATTATTGGGTAAGTGATTGTCAGGTGCTTTGAGTTATTGGCATCGACTCATGTGTTAGGAATTTGGTTAGACACTGGTTTGGAATTGAGGTGAGAGTCCCCTTCCCTATTTTTGTCTAATAAAGTCTTGGAGATTAAAGGTATGGGCTGAAAAAAAGATAATATTCTCTAGGTTTCTAGAGTACGATACTCCTTTTTGTTCTTAGTTACTACTATCACGGGAGGTGAGATGATGGTTAGGTTCCTTCGGCCAGTGGGATGATGGTGCAACAACTATAGGCCCATTGAAGTGGTGTTCATGAGCCAGACAGACCCGATTAAGATGATAGCAAGACTGGTGAGCTATCGTGAGTTGAAGGTAGTCATCGGAATCCTACAGGTCTGTGGGAGTAAGGTTACACACCAATAGTCTCACAATGGTTGGTTGTGAGCTTACAACTAGCTGGTATTGTATGCATGTTTAGTCTAGTTAGTCTGAGTGTTTGGTAATTGATTGATGATGGTACAATCGTCTACATTGGTGTAAGGTACGAGACCTCAGATACGGAGAGGAACAATGTAAGATTAAGAGTCGGGCCTATCGATGAAAGATTGATAGCCAATGTATAGGATATGTCTCATTCATTTAGTCGAAATCGTTGATTTGTCAGTAAGACCGCTAGAGTGATGGTGGTTATATGGATGAATGTCAGAACCATCATCTATGTTGAAATATTGAGGAAGTATTGAACAATATATTTCATATGAGAGGGGTAGAATCCTTTGTTAAGAGATGACTCAGCTTCGTGGCTGAGGAAGTAGATATGATCGATAACTTAGAGGGTCGGTTTCATAAATTTTAGACCATAAATTTTGGATTTATGGAGGGTTTTTGCAAGGAGTTGGACTAGGCTGCTAGACATGGTTTAGGATTTTGATGGTGATATACTTTACCATTCCAGTAAAGTAAATGTAGTTGTTGACGCCTTTAGTTGGAAGCCGGCTAGTGAGCCACATCGTAAATTATGTCTACAAATGAAGATGTTTACTCCCTATTAGAGTTGATGAAAAGCAGTAGGGAGTTATGTTTCAGGATGAGAACACCAAATGGACATGGGAGTTTCAGGCAAGATTCTGACTGTCGGTCGAGACAGTCGGGGTTAGTTGATATATTAAGGTCTGGTATGTGCTCCTATGCTGGAGGTAACAAGCATATATTTACGCTAGGAACGTTGTAGCTAGGTACATGATGCTAGTTTTTATGGTATCTAATAAGTACATGCAGTTCATGTCTCTACTTTGGAAAGGTTTTAACAGGAAACGGGTACTCAGTTTCGATTTAGCACAACTTCTAATCTTGTATTGGCTTGTCGTCATTCGATCTTTTCTATGATAAGAAGTTCAAGACATATATGTGTTGGGGGAGATTGGGCATCTCGTGCTAGGGAGGACGGATATCATGCTTAAGGAGAATGAGTTGGTTCAGGTGTTATAGGCGCGTTTGGTAACCACGTAGTGTTGACAGAAGGGCTACGCTGACATGAGATACTTAAATTTAGAATTTCAGGTAGGAGTTTATAACATGTTGGTAGTTTTAGCTCGGTAAGGGTGATGAAGTTACGTAAGAAGGGAAAGTTAGGTCCACGATATGTTGTTACGTACAAGATTATTGCTTAATCGGGGAATGTAGTGTATCGTTTGGAGTTGCCAGGTAGGTTGATATTTACCCACAACATTTTCCATGTATTCCAGTTGCAAAACTGATTGGCGGTTGAGGCAAAAGAAGTTTCACTAGAGGACATACAAATTGACAAACAGCTAAATTATGTTAAGAAGTCGATTGCCCTCCTTGAGAGGAAGACCAATACCTTGCATGAGAAGTAGATTGGATTAGTAAAACACTAGAGGTAGCATCAAAATGTTTTTTGAATGGACCTGAGAGCCAAAGATGAAGATACATATGCGTTATCCAGAGTTGTTTTCTAGTTGCGACTTCGAGGACGAAGTCTGATTCAAGTGGAGGAGAGTTGTAACGCCCCATTTTTCCATTTTAAAAAATGGGTATAAATACAAATAAACAAATAATATTAATAATAATTAATTATTTGAACCTTATTAATGTAGAGATAATTAAATAATTTTGAAAGGGGTCCTTTTTGCTAACTTTTAGAACTAAATCATGAACATTTTTGTCTTTTGGGTCAAAAGTGGCAAGTTTATGGAAATTGAGGGACTATTAGTACCAATTTCGAAATTTCTGCTTGAGGGCCTCCAATGTTACGAGATTTTATCCAATTTTCAACCCAATTACTTTTAGGATCAATCCTTACAAGTCCGTATTAGTCCTTAACCTAATTTTCAATAAGTTAGTGTTTGTATGTGTGCATTTTGTTTTGGTGCGACACAAAAGAAGAAGAAAGAAGTGGAAAAAATGAAGAACGAAGGGTGATATCGGCTGTGGTGATAGAAACGAGGACGGAGGTCATTTTCTAGGTTCTAGAGGAAGAAGAGAAGGATGTTTAGGTGGTGGAAGATCAAACAAGCAAGGAGGTAAGGCCATTTTTCTCTTAAACCTTTCTTTTCTCCTCTTTTTTCTAAAATCACCACCACCACCACTACGATGGTGGCAGTGGGTGGTGGTTCTCAATGTTTTCTGGAAGTCTAGGGGCGTTTGGGGTTGCTATGGTGTGAAAAACCCTAACCCTAGATGTACTATCCCAATGTTGACAATCTACTTTGTTTCTCCTAAAAAGCAATGAACTTTGGAGTGTGGGATTAGAATTTAACTAGACATTTTGACTCAATGGATTGAAAATTCTGTAAAGAACTTATTTCTAGAAAATAAGCCATTTTGGAATGGGTCTTAGTGGGTTAAGAAGCGAATTAAACCTAAAAAGCCAAAGCTATGATTTCAAGATTTTTCCATAATTTGTCCATGTCTTTGAAAGATCATATCTCTGTCATGAAAAACCTTTTTGGTCGAAATCAGTGCACAAAGTTTCATATATGAGTACTCTACACTTCATTAGTTTTGACTGAAATCCAGAAATGCGTCTAGCTAGGGTAAACAAGACCATTTACCCAGACTGGTCCGGACTTGACTGTTATGCGAGACAGTTTTGTAAAATTTTCCATAAATCGTAGAAACATTGTATGGAGACGTGTAAGTACTACGTTTAAATTTAAGGACATGACCTATATGTATGTGATACAGTTTTGAAAAATATAGAGTTTAAGGTAGCCAAAACAGGTCCCGAACACACCCCAAGTTTTATGTAGAAAGCTGAAATTTAACCCCTTAGTCTATTTACATAATTAGGGGAAATAAGTAACTAAACTTAACTTAAATCATTATTATTAGGAAGTGTGAAGGACAAGAATGTGTTATTGAGTCCCAGGTTGCTTTTTAGATTGCTTAGCTTTCGGAGGTGATTTCCTCACTACACCGTGTTGTGTTATATTCTCTTTACATTAGCTTGTTTGTGCTTTGTGTGTATTGTTTATGCGGGGAGTACTAGGTTGGTTAGAGTATATTGGTTTTCCTCACATATTGAGGATTATGAATGCTAGGAATCGACGCATCCGAGTGGGGTTCGGGCGCAGCCAATGTGTCCCAAAGGCTCTACGAACTGAGCAAGGGGGATTGGGCATGGCCAATGTGTCCCAATGGGTTCGTTTATGGGGGACCGGGCTTAGCCAATGTGTCCCAAGGGCTCGATGTACTGAGAAAGGGGGATAGAGCCTAGCCAATGTGTTCCAGTAGGAGTATGTTTGTTACTTATTCGTTATTTGACATGCATGCGTGGTTATGTATTTGATGTGTATAGGGGTAATGCTTATATGATATGATATTGTGTATGTGTGGAATTCACTAAGCTTCGTTCTTACTTCTTTTCCCTTAAAATACTATTTCAGGTACACAGTATGGTCGGGCATGATTGTACACACTGGATCGAGGTGGGTTTTGGGAATTGGTATTGAATTGGTTATGTTTTCATAAATTTTAGAATTATAACTAATAATGTTTGGAAACTAAATTAATCGTGGGGTTTGGTATTTCATTTGTTTTGAATAAAATACAGTAAATGGATGATTTATGCTATTTTAAAAAGTTCAAATTCATTGCAAATTTTGGGATGTTACAAAAGGAACCATAATGGAGTATATTGTCTCGGGTATTATGAAAAATATTTCATTATTACTGCTTTATATATTTTCATTTTTTAGAAAATTGGGTCTTAATTACTTTTTACCTATATGTAATAGGTGAAAAAGTTCAAGTTATGACTGAAACAAGTTTACAAGGAGAAGCTTTACTACCCACTACACTTGAATAGAAGTTCATTGTGAAGGTTAAAGATACACATAGGCACATACTAAGTTGGACGAGACACCTAGTTATTAGATACTATGAGCTGGTAATACTATTTACAAACATTTAATGCATATATATATATATATATATATATATATATATATATACATACATACATGATGCCTAATTTAAAAAAATTATTTATAATTTTTGTAGGGAAAAGTGGTGGTGAAACCAATGAAAAACATGCAATACCTCTAAAGAAGAATTAGGTAGTAATAAGAAGAGAAAAGATATGAAGAAATAAAATGAGAATGGAACACAAGAAAAGGGTAAAGATAAGGGAAGGGAAATGGAGAAACAAAAAGAAAAGGAGAAGAGTAAAAAGAAGGGAAAAAATATGGAGAAATAAAATGAGACCATGCAAAGTAGGTGGATGGGAGCACCGATGAAGACAAGGATAAGAACTGAAAAGGTAGTATTTTGAAAATGACTGCAATTATGGTTGATGGACAGGTTTCAAAGGCTGATTCTATAAAAGTGCAGTGTGAGAACGATCTTTTTGGGTACGACAATTACAAATACTTAATCAGGATGATTTTGAAGCACTACTTACATTGAATGAGTTGATATGTGCTTTCATTGTGTCTTATATGATGTAAGTGCTTAAATTTAATTTAAATAACTATTCTTAAAAGAAAATTTGTTTAGTCAGTTTAGTGTTTATATGTTAACATGATCTTGTTTAACAAAATCAAGTATGGGCAGCCAAAAAGAGATCATGGAATTTGTTTTGTGAGCCTAGCTGTAATCTCACAAAGTAATCGTAAAGGAAAATCTAAGAATATTGATGATGCAAGTAGAAGAGTTGCATATCGGTTGTCTACAAGAAAGGACAATGACATCATCATGACGCCCTATAATCCTAGATTTGATTTTGCTATTTCATGCTGAATATAATAAATATCTATTTATTTAGTCACTAAGTTGTTTGACTTAATTTGATTTTTGGTTTTTGTAGAAGACATTGGGTGTTGGCTGTACTAGACATGAAACTGGCTACTTGCTATTATCTTGATTGCCTGAGTTCTAGCAATATCAATTTGTAGTTGAAGCAAATTATTGATTCATAAGTAATATAAGTTATCAAAACATTTGATGTGAATACAATAAATAGGTACTTCTTAATGTTTTTTTATAGGTAAATGGTTTTGTACGCTACACAAAGTGGATCCAACAAGAGGATTAACTCAACTCGGTTAATCTTAAGGCCAACACTTAATTCCTTATTGAAATTGCAGGTTTAACTTTATTATTTGGATCAATGTTGTGATGATCATTTATATGCAATTGTGCAGTGTCCAGTTCAGCCCGGAGGTACTGAATGTGGCTACTACATGTTAAAGTTCATTAAGGAGATAGTTGAGGAAGGAATTGAAGTATTAGTCAATGATAATGTAAGTATAACATTCTACTCTCACTACTTTAATTTATTTGAATGTAAAATGCTCTAATAGGAAAGGAATTGAAAGAAAATGATCATTTTATGGTTATTTATTGAATATAACATCCTACTCTCACAATTATAATTGAAATATTAGGTTATATTCATGAAATAGCAACATACTTTCATTTATTTGAAAGTACAATGCTCTAATAATAACAATTTAAATTTTATGTTTATTTGTTGAATGTAAAATCCTATTCATTGTTATATAGTAGGTTATATGCAAAAAATAGAAATGTGCTTTCATTTATTTGAAAGTACAATGCGATAATAAGAAAGGAGAATTTACATTATATATTTTATTGTTGAATATAACATCCTACTCGCTATTAAAGAAATGATCATTTTTTTTATAATTGAAACGTTACATGCAAGTTTTTTCTCAGGTCGGGGATGGCAAAGTTCAGTACACAGATGATGATATTGATGAAATCCGTGAAGAACAGTTGTCTTTTGTTACAGGCTTCATTTATCGGTGATATTTTGTATCGACAAACAATATTTTTGTTAATTGTGAAATGTTAGGTAGCATCATCTTTTGACATGTAGTGTACAATGTTTTTGATAACTTGTTTGATATGATGTTATTAGATGATATTAAATGTTTTGGTATACATTTGTTTTCGTATATTTGTATTATGCATAAATGCATGTCGTAAAAATGCACGTTGTAAATGCATATCGTAAATGATTTCTAAAGTTAATGACACACAAATGTGTGTCATCTCCACTTATGACACATCTTTAATGATACACATTGCCTGTCATCTATACCCCTTCATGACACGCAATGTGTGTCGTAAATGCACACTATAAGGTTATGACACGCTAATGTGTGTCGTCTTCCTTTATGACAGGGAATTCAATGATACGCATTGTGTGTCATCTATACAACTTTATGACATGCATTGAGTGTCGTAAATGCGTTTCGTAAGGTTACAACACGCAAATGCGTTCGTCTTCCTTTATGACAGAGGCTTCAATGATACACATATGCATGTCATCTGTACCCTTTTATGACACGAATGCGTGTCATTAAAGGGTAAGTTTCTACTAGTGAGAGATAGAGATTTTCGAATTCCCTTAATCCCTTAAGGGTTCTAGAACATTCCAATTAGTCAATCTTTTAACTAATTAATATTTGACCCCTTGAATTAAATAATTATTAATTAAATCCAAAATAGTTTCTGATTAATTTATTAAACATAATAAATTAATAAACTATTTTTCTCCTTATTTTTATTTCTTTTAATTTCTAATTTGTGTCATGAGGGCAACCCAAAATGACCATGTTACTATTTAGAAATATTACCATTTAGTTAATGACCTTGGAAACTATTTCCAACACTTTGTCCATTCTGCATCTGTTGGCTTGGGTTCAGAGTCATCAATGTGATCAATAACATCGAATGATGTACAAGGGGTAGATAATAGTTCTCTACACGTGTCGTATTTGAGGCATTCCAGATCAAGAAGGAGGGGGACATAGTTCTCTATATTAGTTGTATTATAGACCTTGTTTGGAGCAACATTGGTGGGAATATTGTCCATGGTGGCCAACGGTGGGAGATCAAATTATTATGGTTGACAAACAAAAAAAGGAGAAAAAGTCAAGACCCAGAGATAGAAAGTGAGGGTTTTAAACAGGTGGTTAAGGAAATAGTTTTAAGCTATGATGCCATGTTGATGAGTATCATTCTCATTGCCATACAAACAAGATTACATAGAGTATATATACACACGAATGAAAGGAGTTGGATATACATGTGCCATAATACACGAATGATGGGCTATATAAGCATACACAGATACATTAATCTGCTAACAAGTTCAAGCTATATGAAGCAGTACCTCTAAACTTTATGCAATGGTTTCAAGGTCATAAACTTATCAAAATGATAGAAAGAAATCAATATAGTGCTGCAATTATGACATCGTGGGTTTGTACATAAACAATTACATACTTGTGTCTTAACTTGATGATACAACAACTCATGAACAACAGAAGTACCTCTTTGATACCAAATATGTGATTTCCGTAAGAAAAAAAAGTACATGCAAACATACATAAATAAATAATGATAAGTGGGGCATGCAGTTCTATGAAGAGATTATTTGATAAACATTTAGTGTTGAATTATTCTAACCACTTAATGGTTAAAAGTATGTAGTTTTGCACAAAATTTTAGAGGCTATATCAAACAAGATGAACATTAACTTATTCATAAGTAACCTCTAAATTGTTGAATTAGGTTATCAAATAGTCTCTTATTTAGAACTGGTAGATTCGTAGTGTATATTATACATGTAACGCACGCAGATTCGAGCTAGTCAATTTAGAGACAATAAGCGTGAAAAATGACTTTTTATAGAAGATTATTTAGAATAAATAATCTTAACCAAGTTATATTATATGTCACAAGGGTTCCATACATATAAAGAATGCTGAAATCCGAGTTATAACGAAGAAGTTATGGCCTGTCGAAGTTTTACGGCTAAACTGGCACGACACCGCGTAACGTAAAAAGTGAATTTTTGATAAATTATTTTTTAGCCTTAGAGATCTAAACGAAAGTTTTAGCATACGTTAAATAGAGAGCGTTCATAAAAAGAACGCCCAAATCTGACTTCGTATAAGGAAGTTATGTTTTTTCTAAGATTTGGCATAACAGTCCACAACCCGGAATTCGAATTTTAGATCGATCGATTTTTGGCCGACACAACCTAAATGATAAATGAAGATCTCATTAATAGGAGCTCAATGATAAAAATACAGACGGAAACGGAGTCCGTATGTAGAAGTTATTAATTTTACACGGTCATTTAACAATGTAATCTTCTCATACTGTTAAATTTAAAATCGGTATAGAATTAGCTGATGGAGTCAAAAGAAGAGTTGTAGATCTTGTCAATACCTACGCGTGGATATAAAGAACGTAAAAAACGGAGCTCGTATGTGAAAGTTACGGGGTTTAGAACTCGGCAGGGTGCTACTGCGAAGAGGTGACGTGGCTGAATCTGGGTTATTGCTTTCCCCCAAGCCTTGCCACCAGAGGGTGACATGTGGCACCAACTCGATGAGTTGGAGGCCATAACTCGAATAATTGAGCTGTATTTCAGCCTATAAATAACATGCGAAGGTCTCCATAATTCTCACACCAAAACCTACTTCTCGTTAAGCCTCCTAAAACCCTCTAAAGCCCTAGTAACCTCAACGTGCTAGAGGAAAGCCCCAGAGCGACTGAAGTCTCCGAGAAAAAGAGCTTTTCGGCTCAGAATTTATGCCCCCGTAGAGCCCAGTTTTTCGCTAAACCCCCTGTAAGATGAGTTATGCATACCGTACTTTAAGTATAACTTATGTTTAAGTTCATTATCTTTATTATGAACCTATAAACAAGATTTATCAGTGATTGCAAGTCATTATACTGATTGATCTACTTACGGGGATGATGTATAGGCTGTGATTTAGTTAGGTGCTTAAAGTGAGATTTCCAAACAGTATACTTCGTATACCAAATGGACCATACCTCCGATATGATCCTACCTGGTCGTTCCTTACTTGATAGATCATGAAAGTAGACTTTGAGTTAATGATAAATCTAGACTAATAATTAGTCATAGTAAATTTTATATTAAAATCTAGTGGTACTGATACTAGGTTGCGTCGAAGGAAAATAGAATTGTTAGAAGCGAAGCGCTGCCCGAGTGTGGAAACATCACTTTAACACGTGAGTGCATAGTTACTTTCATCTTACACATAGATATGAAGTATTTTATATAAATTATGTTCTATGTGTGCATATTATCTGTTTACTTGAGATCTATGCTGGATGAAAGATTTAAACTTGGTTTTTCAGATCTAAAATGTATATGTATTTTATATCTACAAATATGTTGGGTAAAATATGGGTAGATGAAATAGATGGTGTGTGATGAAAAATGAGTTGGAGGATGAGATGAAAAAGTGATATAGATCATGAGATGAGGGCGAGAGGTGAAAAACGAGAGAAGCCTTTACCCAAGCGTTGGCCCTGTCATCTAGCAGAGTATGGATGACAACCACAGACTATTCTAGACGGTCCGATGAAACACTAGCAGGCTTGCAACCTGTAGGTGTTGTGAACGATATGTTCACCTGGTGTACTCTAGAAACCCATTGACATGTATTGTGGGTGGACTCCCGCAAATAATACTATCGATAAATGAGATAAACCATGGCAGCTATGGACTTAGCGCCTGTTGGATGAACCCTGGAAACTATGGATTTAGTGCCTGATATATAAACCCTGGAAACGATGGACTTCGTGCCTATTCCTTAGGACAATCCTTAGGAATGAATGAATAAAAAGTAGCTGATTCTTAGGGTAGATCCTTAAGAGTAAAGAAGATAATAGGGATGGGTAATTGGGTTGATTGTTTGATGTTTAAACATAATAACTATATAATTGTGGGTTGAAAACTCTATGTACTACTCAGCTTATTTGTATCACAGGTGTCGATATGAAGCTACATTACACTGAGGGATTAAGGAGATGTAAATCACTAGTGTAAACGAATTTAAGGTTTGTTTATGCTTATGTTTCTATATTGACGATGACATCCCAATGTTTTAAAATGAATAAAATACATTTCTTCGGAAATACTTTGATAACGTATTTATCATGCTTTTCTGGGAACAAATTCCGCAACATTTTTACTTAAAAGGATACTCTGATTTTCAAAATAAAGCATAATCATATCGGTCTTTTCTGGCCGTGAAAATGGGTATGTCACAGTTGGTATCAGAGTATTAGTTTAAGCGAACTAGGAATTTGTAGGATTTCTAGACTTAAACTGTCACACCCCCAAACTGGAACGACGGAAACGTTCGGGGGCGGAGGACGTCACGTACAGTATCACAACAATTGTATAATAGTAATCAAAGTAACAACAACCATCGTATTAATAATATAAAGTTTACATTGTGTTCAAAACATTGTATGATTTACATTAAAACTATAGCAAAAGATAAGACGTAATGCTACTAAGCTCCGTCTTCGCAACACCTAAGAGGGTACCTGTCTACTAACGTTCCTGGGAATACAAGTGGTTTGAAAAAAGTGTCAACATTAAAGTTGGTGAGTTCATAAGTATTTTTGTTATAAAAAAGTATACTCTTTGTTCTTTGGAAAAGTTCGCATGTTCCTCCATAAAATCCTATATTTTCTTAATGAGTAATATGACCATACTCATTCCTTTTGTGATCATTTAGTGAATACAAATTATATATAATACATATCAAATAGACAATTGAATGTGTGGATCTGCCCTAAGCCCACAACCAAACAAGGAACAGGAAATGAGGCGGAGGTCACACATTCCACTGCCCATCTGATCTTCATTATGTTGGATTAATGTCTAAGTCCATAACTATAATTGGTAAGACTTGACCCGACCCGGCATGGTCCATTTGGGTTGCATGGAATCATGCATTTGGATA